ACGTGGGAGATGGTGAGGAACGTCCATCCCGGTCAGAGCACCGTGGCCAGGCACCGTGGTACACACCTGTAATCCCAGCCACGAGGGGAATTAAGATTGGGAGGATCACTGTACAAGGCCAGCCTGGACCAAGGAAGCAAGACCTGCCCTGAAAACCTAGAGCAGAGGAGAAGAGGGCTAGCACTGTGGCCACAGTGGGGGGCCTGCCTCGTGGGGAGGTCAAGCCTCAGCACTGCCTGAGCGGACAGACTTGACAAAATAAAAGTCCCTGAAAAGCCTGTCCTCCACAAGATGAATCCTGAGCTGGATGTGCTGACAGCTCAGAAGACCCCCGGGGGAGGGGACCCCCTCCAGCACGGAGCAAGCCCTGCACAAGGCTTCCCCAGGAGCGGTCCCTGGGTGTGGGGTGCGGGCGGGCAGCCTGCAGGGCCCGCTCCACCTCTGGGGAGGGCGGACGGGACAGCGGGAGCTGTGTGCCCGGCCCAGGGTCTGCTCTGAGCACTGCAGCCTGGCCACCCCGGCACCCGGCCACGCTGGGCAGAGCTGTGTGCTGGAACTTGCCAGGTGGGGAGCGCAGACACCCCCCCCCCCCCGCCTGGCATCACGCACACGCAGGTGAGTCACGGGGAGGGGCCGTCCCCAGGCAAGTCCCTGCGCGGCCCGGCCCGCCTCGCCTCTCCAGGGCACCCCTGCCTTTGCCCCGAGCAGGGCCCGCCGCGTCCCCAAGCCCACATCATCCCCCACCCCTCCCACCTGGGCCCTCCACCCCGGTGTACCCGCTGAAAATAAAATCCGTCCTGCCAGTCCCGCGAGGAGCAGGGAGAGACTCCTGAGCTGGACGCAATGAGACGGCTCAGAAACCGCAGCACAGATCCCCCGAAACCACGACAGTCACATTCTCCACTAGCTTCAAGTTTTTAAAAATTTTAAGATTCTTAATTTAAAGCCCGGCTCCGGTGGCTCACACCGGTCATCCTAGCTACTGAGGAGGCTGAGATCTGAGGCTCGAGGTTCAAAGCCAGCCCGGGCAGGAAAGTCCATGAGACTCTTATATCTCCAAAAAACCACCAGAAAACCAGAAGTGCCGCTGTGTTACAAGTGGTAGAGCGCTCACCTTGAGCTGAAGAGCCGAGGGACAGCGTCCAGGCCCAGAGTTCAAGCCCCACCACCAAAAAAAAAAAAAAGAAGATTCTTAATTCAAGGGTACGGGTCTGGCTCCACCTGCCTCATAAGCCCAAAGCTTGAGTTTAAACCCCAGTCCAGAAAAAAAAATCAAATTAATCTCAAATTTCTTTTGGTACAAGAGACATGTAGATCTAATTTACACACACACACACACACACACACACACATTTTTTTCAGAATGGCCCTAGCTGGGCATGGTAGCACAGGCCTATAGTCCCAGACCTAGAAGGGCTGAGGCAGGAGGATCGAGACCCTATCACAACAAGCAATGTGCGCCCAAAGACAGAGACATGCGCCCTATCTGCATCTCATTCCAAAGACAGAGACATGCGCCCTATCTGCATCTCAGTCCAGATTTTTCGATTCTGTGTATTGGTCCAGGTATTCCAGAACTATCCCGTATTTCATGTTTGCACTACAATGCACTTTACCCTCTGTCTTTAAATCCTTTTGAAATTCCTTGACTTGCCTAGTGCTTTCTGTGTGGTTTTCCTGAAGCCGGGGTCCAGCCACAAGCCAGGCAGACAGGAGTTCTCCACGGAGAGCTGCTTGTCCCTTCAAAGCTGGCAAAGAGCGAGCGCCGGGTAACTGTGACTCACGGGGCAGGATAAACCTGTCCTAGGCACTGTGTCCCAAGGAACCAACTCAACTCCGCCAGGCCTGAGAGAGTGTTAAGGCCCCTTCCTCCCACAATCGAAGGCTTTTTTCCCCTAACATGAGGGTTTGAACTCAGGGCCTGTGCAGTTGCTATATTGTAGAGCCACACCTAGTCCCGTTTTTGCACTGGTTAAGATAGGCTCTGACTTGCTTGTAGATCCTGAGCTTGTGCCTGGACTGTGCGTCTCCTGTGTCAGGTTTCCTGTCGTGGCTGGAATGGCAGGTGTGTGCCATGGCTCCTCACTGTTGATGGAGAAAGAGGTTTCAAGTGCCTGCCTGTGCTGGCCTCCAACTGTGATCCTCCCACTGGCAGCCTCCCAAGTAAGGAGTGACTTCTTAGGTCTAAGAAGGGGATTCCACCAGGGGGGCAAACTAAGGAAGCCACTGAGGCCTGACCATCTCCTGAGTGTCAGGCGTCAGCTCCTGGTACACAGCTCTGAGACATCATCAGAACCCAGAAGGGCCAAGGGTGTCTCCTGCAGCTGTGAATGACCTCCAAGCATCCTCCAACTGTCCTGGCTCCTGACCCCTGCCTGGGCCTGCCCCCACGCAAGTCTATGCCTCACATCCTGCTTCTAAGCCAACCAAACCAAACCAAAGCACATGGCTCGAGTGAGAAGGAACTCAGGAGGCTCAGGTGATGCGCGTCATGGAGAAATAGCAGAGCCTGATGTGTGGCTGTGGATCCCAGCGGTCCAGAGATGGCAGCCATTAGCCGCTTGTGACAGTTGCACTGCACTTGGAATGACAAGTAAAATTGAAGACTCGGCTCCTTGGGCTCACCTGTGGCGAGCAGCTACCGTATCGGGCAACATGGGTCAAGAACGTCTGGGTCATGCCAGAAAGTCCTGGTGGATAGGGCTGCCCTGGGCAGTCTGCCCAGCGCCTACTACTCGTAGGGGTTGTGCGTACCGAGGGGACCGCCACTGCCTGCCCGTACTGTCTACCAGTAAGGGTCCCCAAGCCCCAGCAACACCCCCTCCCCCCCAACGTGGCTGTGACACCATTTAGGGGCAGGCTGGTTTTTCTCTTCCCTTTACAGAGTTAAAAGGCAGGAACATGTTTAAGGTAAAAGAGTAAGTTAATTTGAAAGTGAAGGGAAAGCTGTGCGGGGAGCAGAAACTAACTCCCTGTCTGGAGAGAGAGCTCCAGAGGAGCCCTAGGGCCATTTTTGTGGTGTGAGGCTCCGCCCACCTTCAGCCCTGGGTTTGTGCTGGCTGCCCAGTGGCTGAGCTCACACCGCCCCGGCTGTTCTCATTGGTGGAACAGGCACCCAAGGCATTATGGGAGGAAGCGTCTGAGCAGGAGTCTGAGGCATGATGGGAATGAGCAGCACCTGGAGGGGACACGTTACGTACCCGTGTTATGTCCACCACTTTTAGTCCCTGCTACCACCTAACAGTTCCTCTTTTCCTCTCCGAGACGCTGCGGTAGTTCGCGGGGAGGGAAGGGCCGGGCTGTCAGGATGGATGGAGAGTAGCCACGCTTGTGCATGTCCTGAGCCCTCCCCGGCGGTGTCTGCGGATCCTTCCCCACCCCACGGCTGTCATCTGACTCCAGAGAGGAGGCAGCTGAGAGGTGAAGCGTCTTGTCTAGGGGCCAGGAAGAGTCAAGCCTGGGTCAAGGCCAGCAGACGGCTCCGCTTCTCAGCCTAGATCCCCTCCCGCCCAGGGAGGATGGGAAGGGCTGTGTGTCCACACCTCCTGCGCTCTCTCCCCAGCCAGACAGGCTCGGAGGCCTTGCTGCTGCCCCTGGGCCAGCCCGGGAGAGGCAGCTGAGGTCTGGGGGGGTCACGCCGCCCACCGAGGCCTGGGGGCTTCACCACCAGTGCTGGGGGCTGTCCCGTGACACAAGCCAGCGCTTTGACATGGGATCTCAGGTGCTTACTGGAGCCAGGACGGAAAGTATGACTCGCTCCTCCCTGAGCCTGGCGTGGGATGGCTTTTCCATTGCTAATTTCCAAGGAATCCGGTGAAGTAGTGGAAAGACGCAGAAGGCGGGAAGTCTGGTTCTCACATTGGTCTGCCCTGGCTTCACACCAGAACAACCTGCCAGTCTCAGCCAGATTAACCTGTCTCTGTCTCCCCTTCCCTTCACTCAGCCGTGACCCTGCTCTGCCTAGCCAAGGCCCAGGGGTCGGTGAGGCCCAGGGGCATGGGCAGCTGCACGTGGACGGCCAGGGTCTCAGTTCTTTGGGGACTTGTTTCCAAAATGTGTCTTCGGGAGGTGCGCTTGAGATGTTATGCGTTATTATTAAGAGGACAAAGGACTTGAGACTTCAAAACTGAGCCCCTGCCCCCCAAGCACACTGCAGGAGTCCACACTGCTCCTGGCACAGACGCATTTGAACATGGGGAGGACTTTTTGGACATTGTGAGCCTTTCCTTCCTTCTCTCCTCCTCCTGCATCTCCTCTTTCCCCTTCCTTCTTTCCTTCCTTCCTTTCTTCTTTCCTTCCCTCCTTCCTTCCTTCCTCTTTCCTCTTCCTTCCCTTCTCTCCCTTCCTTCCTCTTTCTTTCTTTCCTTCTTCTTCTGGTAGTAGGAATGGAACTCAAGACAGGTGCTGTGACAAGACAGGCGGCCTGGTGGCTCCCAAGGACCAACCCTTACACCCAGCGCAGATGGGCGGCAGCAAGCAGAGGCCCCTTACCAGGGTACCGCGTCTTGGCTGGACAAGTGACAAGTCAGATACAGTGTTGGGACATGTAATTCTGGGTTGAAGCTCTGTCTCCTGTCAGAAATGTGTCCAACTCATATTCTTGGAATGGGTGGGACGGCCGGCCAGGCAGCCCTGCGCAAATCCAGGAGAAGCTCCTTCCTGGGTGCATGCGGTAGGGTCTCCGTGGAAAGCCGACCTGCAGGTGGGGAGGATGAGGTGTGGGGCCCGCAGGAAAGCCTGGCACCGCCTTCTGGGCTCATCTAGCCACTCCTGGTGAGGCCACTGCATGTTCCCTTGTGTGGCCACTAGGAAGGGGGGCCACATTGGCCACCTCTGAGGGGCCGGCGACCCAGCCAAGATGCTGGATGGAGAGTTCGTGGCTGTGAGAAAGGAAAGAAAAGCGCTCCCAGGCGAGGGGAGGTGGCAGGATCCCACCCTGGTGGCACCAGCGCGCTGCGCCCCAGCTTGGGCCTGGATGGTTGAAACCATCGATTCCATAGGAGACAGGTGGGAAGCGTGGGGGTCGGTCCCGGGTCCGGGGCGCGCGGGTCGGGCGGGAACAGGTCTCCCCACCCCGCCGGACCTACGCCTCCGCGGGCCGCTCTGAGGTTCGAAGCCGGAACCACGCGCCCGCGGGCCGCACTGGCGATCGAGGCCGGATCCGCGGGCCGCACGGGCGATGCGGGCCGCTCCGGATCCGCGCGCCCGCGGGCCGCACGGGCGATGCGGGCCGCTCCGGATCCGCGCGCCCGCGGGCCGCACGGCCGATCCGGGCCGCACGGGCGATGCGGGCCGCGCCGCCGGTGCGCGCCCGCGCGGTTCCCAGCCGCGCCGCCGCGCGCGGACAGTGGCGCATTGTTCGCCGGGACGCCCGGGGCGGCGCTGCGCCCTCGGGGCCTGGCGCGGCCGCTCCGCGATTTGCATGCGCTCCAGTCACAAAGGTTCAAGGTCAGGAGCGCCAGGCGGCCGAGCCCCGCCCGGCCCAGGCGCTATTCTTCGCCCTGGCGGCGGGAACTCCTCTCCGCCCGCGCCTGGCCGCCCCTGCGCCGTCTGAGGCGCTTTGTGTCTCGGCCCGGACAGCTGGGCCCGCGAAGGAAGTGCCAGCCCGGCCGGCGGCGCCCCGCGCCAGCGCCCCTCGCCCATGCTAATCAGCCTGGCAGCGCGTCTGGAGGGCGGCCCTGCCGGGGTCCCCCTGCCAGGCCCCCTCCCCCGGGGTCCCCGCCACCCCAGCTACCAGGTGCCCTTCGTGCCAGGGGACGCGGCTGCCAGCAGTAGCCCTGACCGTGAGAAAGGCGCGCCCGCGTGGTCCAGCGGCCAGCCAGGGAGCAGAGGCGGCGCTGGCACCACTCCAGAGGCTGCCTGGCAGTCTCTCCCCGCCCCAGCGTCCCCTGAGCCTTGAAGGCAGATCGTCAGGGCCTGCTCCGCTCCCTGCAGGACTCCTCCTTCCTGGCGGAAGCCTGGACAGCCCGGATGGGACCGGGACTCACACCTCCCCGAGTCCAGGCTTGGTGTCTGTGGGGAGGCCTGGCCGGGCCTGAGCCGCTAGGAGGTGCCCGGATGTCCGTCATACCCCAGGGCATTGTCACCGCCCACCCCACGCACTGGGATCCCCTGGGCAGGAACGTTGCAATTCCCATTCCCACAGGACCCGAGCACCCAGCACACAATTACTGCTTCATGGTGGGCCAGGCGGGTTGTGCCGTGTGGTGGGTGGCACCTGCCATTTCCAGTCTTTGGAGAGTGGCTTAGGCTTCATGAGCCAGAACAGGCGTCTGTCCCCTGTGCCCCAGGAATGCCCCTGACCTGGAGTCTCTAGCAGCGAGGAGTTGTCTTTCTGAGGAGCTGTGGGGCGTGCGCATCTATCTCCTCCCTAGCAGCTGGCACCCCAAAGGTGAGGGCACCATGCAGGGTCCAGGAACCTTTCCATGGGCCCAACTGAGCCAAGCCTCACCCACAGGTAGCCGCAGCCCGGGAAGCCCCAGAGAGGGAACCTGAGCCTCACATCCAGGCTTAGCTGGGAGCAGGGCGTCAGATCCCCGGCAGGCCTCAGATCTGGGTGGGCACAGGTGCCCTTACCTGCTGTGTGACATGGTGGGCAAACTACTCCAGAGCCTTGTTTTCTTTTTCTTTTTTCCTTTTTTGTGCCAGTAGTAGAGGGTGAACTCAGAGCCAGGCTGGCTTCGAACTACAATCCTCAGATCTCAGAGGTAGCTAGGATAACAGGCATGAGGCACCAGGACACAGCTTCCAGAACCTTCTTTATGAAGTGGACATGATGCTGACTGTTCAGGAGCTATCATCCCTAATATCTACTGTTTCACTGGCTTCAGTTTTCCATTCTTGCCCCTTGCATCTACCCACTTCTGCAAAGGAGGTCATCTTGGAAGTCCTAATTGAGATATAATGCCACCTTCCCTCCTACTGGGCTTCGCATGCCACACTAAGGACCTTGGCTCCCTGTGGAGGGCGGCTACTCCAAGTGCTAAACAGGTTTCCTGCAGACAGGGCTGCCCGGGCATCTGGAAGTCACAGGCCACTTAAATTTCAAAGGAAAAGCTTCCGGCTCTCCTTCAGATTGCAAACTCTTTCCCCATCATGAGGCCTTCAGGAAAATAATTTTAATTTTTCTTTTGGGAGGCTGCATTTATTTTGTGCCAGTACTGGGGCTTGAACTCAGGGCCTGAACACTGTTCCTGAGCTCTTTTCTTCAAGGGTAAAGCTCTACCATTGGAGCCACAGCTCTACTTCCAGTTGTTTTTTTTTTTTTCTTTCTATTTTTGCGGGGGGAGGGGGAAGACTAATTGGAGAAAAGAGTCTCACTGACTTTCCTGCCAGAGCTGGCTTCAAACTGTGACCCTCAGAACCCAGCCTCCTGAGTAGCAGGGATCACAGGTGTGAGCCACCAGCTCCTGGCTTGGAAGATAATGTTTTGAAGTAAAATAGGAAGCCATTCCCTGGAGCTGTGTAATAGGAAGTGTGCACCGGTGGCTCATGCCTGTAATCCTAACTACTCAAGAGGCTGACAGCTAAGGATTGCAGTTCAAAGTCAGTCCAGACAGGAAAGTCTGTGAGACTCTTAACTCCAATAAACTACCATAAAAGCTGGAAGTGGGGCTGTGGATCAAGTGGTAGAGTGTCAGCCTTTCGCAAGAGAAGCTCAGGGACAAAGCTTAGGCCCCAAGTTCAAATCCTTGGCCTGGCACAGGAGGAGGAGGGGGAGAATGAAGAGGAGGAGGAGGCCCAATCTTGCTTTAAAACCAGAGGCTCTTAGGAAGGGTGGAGACAGGAGCCCTGATAGGGAAGCACTCAGGCAGCTGTTAGGGAGAACAGCAAAGGAAGGCTGGGCCATGAGCCCGGAAGACGGGCCCATACTCCCCCAGGGAAGGGGAGGGGTCCTGAGCCAGGATGTCCAGGACTTTGTCTCCAGAGGTTGCCAGGGATCTTATTTCACGTCAGTCAGTGCAGTCTGGGGTGGAGGCCCGTGCAGAAGGCCACGTGTAGAGGTCGGTCATGCAAGTGCCCTCTAAGTCAAGACAGCCTGGTGCTGTGCACACTGCCCGCCAAGTCAGGTCAGGGGCCAGGTGGGCCTGGGGCAGCATCTGTGGACATTGTGCCCAAAGACTCTGAGAAACAGCCTCAGTTCTGACAGCGCCAGCAAAAGGCAGTTCACAGATGGAGTGACCTCTGGGGCAGCAGGGAGTGGAGCCAACCTCAGAGTCAGGGACCCGGGGTCCTGCAGGGCTCCAAGCCCGGATCCTCCGGTGCAGCTGCGACAGGTCAGAGTTCCACAGAGGACCACTCACCGCACCAGTGGATAACACCCCTAGATATAAGACAGCCGCGGTGGCCCACCCATGTAATCCTAGCTTTTCAGAAGGTGGACTTCAGGAGGAACGTGGTTTGAGGCCAACCTGGGCAAAAAGTCACAAGACTCCATCTTAACCAAGAAGTTTTAGGTATGTTGGTGGGAAGCTGTCATTCCATATACTCGGTAAGCATAAACAGGAGGATCACAGTCCAGGTCAATCTCTTCCAAAAACAATTAAATCCTAAGGCTGGGGGATATGTTTCAAGGGATAGAAAACCTGCTTAACAAGAACAGGCCCTGGGTTCAAACTCCAGTACTCACACACACACACACACACACACACACACACACACACACACACACACTTCAATGTAAAACATGCACTCTCACATGCTGTTACCAGAACAATCTATTTGCTCTTCCTGGGAGATCAACGGGCAATATATTCAAGAGCCTTTAAAGAGCCGATTCTCTGTGAAGTTCCAACTATTCCCTGAGGAGCACCTACGGGGAATTATGAGGGATGAGGGGAGGCCACTCCAGCAGCCCAGGAGTAAATCACCCGACAGCCAGTGGTAAAGAATGAGGTGAGGAAGAGACATCTGAACAATGGATCTCCCTGCAGTCATTAACGTGTGCTGGAGAAACACTTAAAGATGAGGGGAATTTTTCATTGCATATTAGCAGGGACGAAGATAATAAAACATGATGTATGGCCACAATGATTTAAGTTCATATCTTGAATAGAGAAGGAAGTTCTTGAGAAATAGATGCCCTAATCGATGCCCTAAGGCCAGCTGAGGTTTCTCTGGGCTGGGATTCTGTTATTTTCTCATGACACTTGGCATGTTGGCAAACTTGTCAGCAATGGCAACTCGGTGTGTCTGTCTGTCTGTCTGTTTCTGTGGCCCAGAAATAAAAAACTAAGTTCATATAAAAATCTCCAGTGATGCCAGGCATCTGTGGCTACACCTGTCATCCTCGCTACTCAGGAGGCTGAGATCTGAGGATCACAGTTCAGAGTCACTCCAGGCAGGAAAGTCTCTGAGGCTCTTGTATGTCCAATTAACAGAGAGAAAGTTGGGTGCCGCGGACCGGGTTCTGTCGGGACGACGGAGGACACCTAGGGGAGGAACTGGAATAGGTGGGTGTTAGGTTTTTTAAAAAGAGGTAGCCGAGTAAGAACAGCACCAGCACGCACGTGGTATTCAGGTAAGGGGTAGGTTTATTCAGTAGACCTGCTGGGACCAGGCAAGGTTGGCACTCCACGTGGCTGGGAAAGGCCTGGGAAGGAGAGAGCTGGGAAAGAGAGGAAAGAGCTAGAAAAGAGCAGAGAGAGGGGTAAGAACAGTAGCACTCACGTGGTATTCAGGTAAGGGGTAGGTTTATTCAGTAGACCTGCTGGGACCAGGCAAGGTTGGCACTCCACGTGGCTGGGAAAGAGAGAGGAAAGAGCTAGAGCAGAGAGAGAGCAGACAGAGCTAGAAAAGAAGAGCAAGAGCAAGAGAGCTAGAAAAGAAGAGCAAGAGAGCGTCTGGGCCTGGGCAAGGCCTTATCTAGGGTATGGGCGGAGAAAGGTGTGGCCACATCAAATTCAGATGTGACCTCAGCGGATGCAGATGTGACCTCTTCCAGGTGTTCCAGTTGCCTAGGTAACACAGGTACTGGGTGGAGACTTTGCTGCGAGGAGGGTGGAGTCTGCTCACCATCCAGGGGTGGACCTTACAGTGGGGAGATGGCAAACAGACAACTCACACACAAGAGGAGTGGATGCTGAGTGCTGAGTGCTGAGTGCTGAGTGCTGAGTGCTGAGTGCTGAGTGCGATTTAATGCAGAGGATAACAAACTTTTATAGCAAAAGTCTCCATAAGAAAGGGCAAAAGGTTATATAATCTTGCTGCAGGGCTTCTTTCTTGGGTGGTCACCAGCTGGTCGCCTGATAGGCACTTGTTTCTGGCTTATCTCTAAGAAATATAATGGGTTTCGATGTTTTGTCATCAACTAACCATTACCTTATTTCTATAGAGGCCTTAACTGTCCCATAAGATCTTTCCTGTTCCTTCTTTAATAGCAAGGTTACGGAGGCCTAGGTCTAGCAAGTCTCTTAGTAAATGAAAGAGAATAACAGGAAGTTCTTTTTCCTAAGTAGTTATCTCAGCAATTGCCATACATTCTTTCTGTTCTAGCCGCGCCTACAGCTTCTTGCAAATCTCTTACAAACAATTCCTTCTGCTGAAATGACTTCGTGAAACCCCCAATACTTTTATATTTACTTATAACTTGTCTACTAGCCTCCATAAGAGGGGTTTCAGGGTGGCACTTAACTCTGGTGAGTTTGTC